CAAACTAAAACATGGCTTCATCAGTCAATGAAATCCACAACAGTTAGTTTAAGCCAGCCAGCCACGTAGGAAGGTGTAGACTTCCTGGTTGGGGTCCTCAGGATGGTAAAAACTGATGAGAGTTGGCTGGCTCAAAATCCTCATTCTCAGTAATGGTTGGCTGGCGCAGATGCATCCACTCCTTGTGACTTATAATACCCAATAAAACTCTATTGTCCTTCCATATTACTACTCATTTTGCCTTATATCTCTGTTTTTTGGCTCTGTTTTGCTTTTTTTTACTTTCTTCTCTTGTTTTGTGTGCTACACGGAGGGAATGTGGCGACTCGAAGTGCTGCTGCACATATGTGCAAAGTTCAACTTTGAAACTAATGTTAATTTGACACTATGTCTTAAGATACAATTCTATAATTCTGTACATTTACCGTGAACATGCACTGCACTTTTGTGCAACTGTAAAGATGTTCATGATTGTTTGTTCCCCACTTCCCCCAGCTTTTGTCCAAATAAAATTAAAATGCAATGGCATCAGAATATGTCTTTAATTTTATTCAAGTATTGGTTTGTAGAGATTTTATTGATTAGTTACAGGATTTCATCATGAACACTGACATCCATCCAAGTAATCCACAACAAAAAACTCAGCGAGGCGTTCGAAGTGCATACACGAGTAAGAAAAGGTTCCTGAAACCAGTTTGGAAATCTTCTGCACTGCATTGCGCCTCAGCAGGCATAAACAAGAAGATTCGGATTCTATTCAACACCAATGTCAAGTCGGTCAGTGCTTCTATACGTAGAAACTTGTACTACGTGTGCGCCACGGAAAGGATTTCAAACAGGCCAGTGCAGACTTTCATCAACAGCTGCCACTTTCTCTGGCTGGCTGTCTCCATACTGAAGATCAAATGGCCGGCCAGAAAGAATGAGTAACACGAAACTCTGGCTGAGAAAAAACCAACGAAGAGCCAATCGCTCAACAAATATTTAGGAGAAAATGGAGACTGATTGATCGGGCATACGTTGAAGAGAGAGGCTGATGAATGACACCACGCGTCAGCCAGGACATCATTCGAGTGAAATCCAAATGGGAAGCGACGCACGAGTGGGTCGTCAGTGCGAGGGTGACATGGAGGAGATCGTGGGAGTTGGATGAGATGAGAGATTATGGTCACTCGTGGAGCTAGCCAGTTGAAGAGGATGGCAGTAAATAGAAGAAAGTAGAGATGTAATGTTGAAGCCAGCCCTGTGTTCCATTTGGAGCCCAAGGGAATAATAATAATGATTGTTTTCACGTGGTTTTGCTGGTGTTGGGATTGCCATTTTCAATATTCTCCCTATTCGCCGTTTAGTGCAAGCTAGTAAACAAACTGAGATTTAGGAGTGCATCGGTTGTAAATCAAACCCGGATCATGTATGTGGCCAACGAGGATTATACCGCCACTGAGTCATTGACGCACAGCTGTTTGCTACCAACGTGGGACTGTTCAGTAACACTTACTATGACTCAGAATCTCATCAGGTTATGAGAAGAGCCCGCTAACCATATAGTCACTTGAGGTGAAACTATTGGCCATCTTATTTGTCCAAGTAGGATTTCATCATGAGCACTGACATCGGTTAGAGAACCATTGGAAAACCCGCCAGCGGTAGTACCAGACAGCTGTTTTGTCCACCTAGTTTCAGAATGGTTCCTCAAAAGTACGCACCCGCCACACTGAGGCTTGAACCTAGGACCTTCACGTTTAAAGGCGAGAGAGCGAGCTCGCTGACCATTAAGCAGCCACTCATTGGGACCTGATCCAGTGGTCAGCCAACCCATGAATTCCAACTTCTGCCAATCCACCGATTAACAATGCATTCAATGACTATAGGTCCATTATTAGCATATTTTTACAAGTCTCAAGGAAAGAGCATCAAAAAATCGTAAGTAACACTAAAACTGACATAAATGCTCTCGGGATTTCATGAGATGTTTACCTGTTAACCGGTTCATAAATCAATTAATTACTTCTAGGCTTCATGTCGTGCAATCTTGATAATGTCCTCTAGAAATTATTCACGGTATCCCCCCACCGTAAAACTATTAAGAAGTCTCCCAACATAATTCTGTCCATACTGTACTTATTTTCATTTCATTTCTGGAATTGTTAGAATTTTGAGAATGACGACTAATATTTATTATATCGTTTGTTAATTTGTGTTATCATATGTCCCCAAAACTGGGTTAACTTTTAACAGTTCGGAAAAATTTGGGCGTTGGGTATATAATATTCACTATAATAAAGGTGTTTTGTATTTCCCAATGAATGAAAAACAAAATGATATTGCTGTCGTCTCTAACTGACGTTTCGCTATTTAATGCTGCTGCTGCTAATACCTTTATCAAAGTAATAATATCAAACCAGAAGAATTTACAAAATCTCAGCTTATATATACACATAACAACTTAATCATCGTTCATCAGCATGGCGGATAATTCTGTTTACGTTGTTATGAAGTTGGCCAATCGGTAAACATCACAAAACAAAGTGTGTGCGTGTGTAGATTGTTGGATTTGATAAGTCTATAAAATTGTACAAAAGCAGCGTGTGTTTACATAATGAAATTGCTTATCACATTCGTGTTGATTTTGTCATTTCATCGGTCAAATTCTGTCTTACTCCGTCATCCATATATAGTTCAGACAATTTGGATTCCATTTGATGTGGAGTGCTTCTGATGATATCAGACATTCTTTGTGATTTCTGAAACTATTTCTGGATGATGATTTCAATATTGTCAAAATCAATTTTGTGACCTGATTGATTCGATAGTTTTGCGTGTAGACGACCTACGGTTGATGATTTTTCAAGCTTTTCTAGTTTATCAACTGGAATTATTTCTCGGTGATCGAACAGATGCAACTCTACGCTGTTCATTTCTTCTGATTACCTTGATTTCTCTCTGGCGATGTTTTTCCGATGTATATTATCCCATCACATTCCAAGCATTTTATTTTTTGGACACGATAAGATTGTGAACCCTTAGGGATTTGGTCTTTTACATGAACAAGGTTGCTTTGTGCTGTGTATGCGTGTCTGGTCTTTTGAAGGGAACAATGATGTTGTGCTTATTGAGTACTCTTCCGATATCGCCTGACGTTTCTGATCTATGTGGAATGATAACTGTTGATGTGCATGTCTTCGGAATACGTTTTCGACCATATTTAATGTTGTCGGTGTTGATTTTGTTAATGAAATTTTTTGGGTGGTTATTTCGCTTGAGAGTCTCAGTAATTTATCATATTTTTTCTTCCGCTTTTTACTTCTCAAGTCGCAGTAAACCAGTAGTATTCTGACTGGACACTAGTAAGTAACTAGTGTTATGTGTCTGGTTAGTCCTTTCTTTGGTGCAGACTGAATTCTATCAGTCAGTCAGTCAAGTTTGCAATGTGGCCACCATTCCTGGTAGCTAGCCATCACGGTGCACTGTGAATTGTTGGTATTCGATGTTTGGAGGCAATCGGCCACAGGAAGCCTTGCCTAGACCTAGGTTTCGTGCTAGTCGGCACTCGGGTTCAAATCACAGAACGGACGTGAGTTGTTCCTTCAATAAGGTTGCAGATACACGCCTTGCCGACTGACTGACTGTTGAGTGCAAACTAGCACGAGACCTAGGTCTTGGTCGAATGCTTCCTATGGCAGATTGCTCCCAACCATCTAAAACCAGTACTATGTTTTTCGGCAACCAACCTGAAATCAGTCTGGAAATCTGCTGAGCTCAACATAAACAACGAAATTCATCTTTTTTCAACATCATTGTTAAGTCTGTCCTTTCACTATGCATATATTGGCCAGAAACTTGGGGCATGGCATCGCGAAAAGCATTTTCAGTAGGCTACTACAGACTTTTATCAACAGATACCCCCTACGGCGGCTCCATCATAATGTAGATCATCTGTCCGGTGGTCAGAAAAAATAAGTGACAAGAAACTCCGGTACTCAACAAAATAATAATGAATCTATTACACGATAAATTTGACTAAGCAATTATAGATGGACTGCATACACTGAGGAAGATTGTTGGGCGAAATTTCTCACTAGGCTTTTACTCAAGATGACAGGATAACCTTCAGCAGGAAAACAAACAATCAGAAGACTTGCTTCTCTGATAACAATAACGCTAATAATAATGTACATAAAAATCTACAAATATCTCTTGATTTTCTTAAAAAACCATCGGTTGACTGGCCCCTGTCTTCGGTTGTTACATTTGGTGACGCTGCCTGCCGACAAATAAAAAGCCTATGGCCTGCAGTTTTTGATGAAGAAGACATATGGATCTTCGGGCGGCACTTCAAGACTGTTGCACGGTTGAATGGCGTTTAAGATCCGTCAGCCATGAGGCTGTTACTTGGAAGGGTGCTGCTGAGAAGTCGGGCAAAGGCAGCATATGATAATGTGAGCCGAAACACTGACGAATACGCACCAGCCAGTCAGGGTCACGCAAACTGCTTCCAAAGTGGGAAGCACCATACATGGTCACTGTGAGACGGGGTCAGGTATATACCATCAGAAGTGGAAACAAAGAGAAGTGGGTGAACGTCAGCCAGCTCCGGAAATGGATATAGCAAGAGAAGCAAACAAAGACGGAGGGGACGAGTGTGCTGGTGTGATACAGATAATGTGTTCCAACGGAATATTATTCTCCCATATTCCCACAGTTCATTTCGGTATTAGCAACAGAATACTATACTATATATGTATATTTGAGCATTCTATTTCATGTCGTTTAATGTATACCAAAATCACAAGCTCGCTCAGTGATGATTGATTAAAGAATATAAACTGTATAGTTGTATATAAACAGCGCTGTGATCACTTGAAAATATACCTTGACTTCCGCGTCTTGCCTTCTGCTGTTATACTATATATTCCAAGTTATGCAAGCAAATAAGCATTTGACATAACAAAACAAAAAAAAAGAAAAGTTATTCTACAATATCAAAAACAATTTCTCACTTTTAACTCTAGGAGTAGAATGGTTGAATATTTCTGTATTAACGTGGATTGGTTTAAGTGCTTGATTGATTTTTGATTCATCCTTCAGCTTATGACGAGACTGAGACTGTTGTCTTGTCTGATGTTGGTGTTGTTGACATTCTCTTTCTGAATTAAGAAATTCATTCAAACTGCTGGTTACATCATGGATTTGTGATGATGAGTAAGTGGAACATTCTAATCTGGATCCAAATACATTGGTGACAAATGAATTCACAGGTTGTCTAGAGGTTGATGTAGGCGGCGACGGAGGCGGAGGAGAGGAAGTATGAATTGAATCAAGATTGTCATAATCATTTTGAGTAGAATTCTCAGTCTGAGGGAAATCATCTTTTTCTGAGTAACCATCAGTGTGTAAACGAAACCAATAGGTATTAGAATTGTTCACTGGAGGATCATTTACCTTTGATAAGATTTCGTGTGAATTATTTTCGGATGTGCTTGATTCAAATTCACAAGTCGACTAAAATGTCAAACAAACAACAGAAAATGTTGATAAGAATAAAACTTGGGCGGCACTGTGGTGGTACACAGAGTATAACTCCATTAAGTGATGACGTTTCGAGCACAAGTTATTGCCACTCAGTCGTAATCATATCAAGGCACACACGCACTCACACACCACTCACTTTCTTGCTTCGTCGTTTATATACATGCATAAGTAAAAATTGATGATGATTAGACAACATTTGATTGAATCAAATCAATCAGTAATATACGATGAGAAGAAAGTACATTCGGAAATAATAATAATGACATTAGTGTTATCAATACAATACAATCCGATGTGAAATAAGATGGTTTCATAGTAAAATAAATAAATAACTTGTTTTTAGAATGTTATAATGTGTATGTGAATTGAATTGAAATAGAATACAATTTAAGATTATTTATTATCCTCCTGCTCGGATTTGACTGACTGATTCGTGATAATAATATCTTGCATATCTGTGGTATTAGCTGGCGATGATGATGAGTCACTTCTATTGGTCTGGATGTGTAGACTCGGATCAGGCAACAATGAGTAAGTAATCAAGGTTACAAGGCGAGCTCGTATATCATTAAGTCACTGGATCCGACGGAATTATTCCGGAGGTGTTTAAATATGGGGGTGACATACTAGTATATAGTTTAACTAAGGTACTAGGTAACGTCTGGGAATCAGAGACGGTTCCATCGGATTGGGGTAAGTCACTTATTATACCAATATTCAAGAAGGGAGACAAGTCCTCATGTGATAATCATAGAGGAATCAGCCTAACGAACATAGTCTCTAAAATCCTAGGCTCAGTAATCATGCACAGACTAAGCCGAACTCGGGAGGAACAAACGAGGGAAAATCAAGCGGGCTTTAGGCCAGGTAGAGGGTGCATAGATCATATCTTCACTCTCCGACAGATCCTAGAACATAGACACACTTTTAGGCGTCCAACAATTGCCATATTTCTTGACTTGAAGGCGGCCTTCGACTCCGTGGATAGAGAGGTACTATGGCAATGTTTGACTGTGAAGGGAGTGCCAAGAAAGTACATTGCACTAATCAAGGCACTCTACTCAAACTCACGTAGCCATGTAATGGCTTATGGGGAATTGTCATCTGAATTGATAACAACCAGTGGTGTCCGTCAAGGATGTCCACTTTCCCCTTTTCCGTTTAACTTCATCATAGATATGCTAATGGAAGTATCCTTAACTGAACTTAACCACTTAGGAATCGACTTGTTACCAGGGAATAGTCTTATGGACTTAGAATATGCAGACGACATAGTTCTGTTAGGGGAGGATGCTGACAAAATGCAGAGTCTTCTGAACACCTTGAGCAGCAATCTTCGTATGTTTGGCATGCGATTCGCCCCTGTAAAATGCTGCTACAGGACTGGACTACGTCAACTCCTAGCTTCGTGATAGGGAGTGAAGTGATAGAACATGTTGACCACTTCACCTATTTGGGAAGTTGTATCAGCACCAACGGATTGATTGGTGACGAAATCTCAGCACGGATCCAAAAAGCTCGGGCTGCTTTCGCTAACTTACACCGTCTCTGGCGTAGGCGTGACATCTGGCTATCAACCAAGGGACGTGTGTACTGCTCAGCAGTTCGCTCCGCCCTTCTCTATGGCGGCGAGACGTGGCCATTGAGAGCGGAAGACATGAAGAGATTGTCTGTTTTTGACCACAGATGTTTACGATCTCTTTCTCGCGTTAGGTGGTATAATAAGGTAAGTAATGTTGACGTTAGGCGTAGAGTGTTGGGCAAAGAGGGAAAATCAATCGAAGAGGCTATAAAGTTACATAGATTGAGATGGCTAGGTCACGTGCTGCGCATGCCTATCCATCGCCTCCCACGACGGGCATTACTAGCTGATATAGGTGCAAGTTGGAAAAGAGTAAGTGGCGGCCAAACAAAACATGGCATCAATCCATGAAATCCCTGACAGTTAAACTGAGTCAGATAGGGAGATGCAGACTTCCGGGTTGGGGCCCTCGGGACTCTAAGAATCAATGGTTGGAGACACTAGGTGACATGGCTCAAAACCGTTGTCAATGGCGCACATGTATTCAGTCCCTGTAATCTTTCATATTCCTTTCTACCACTAGTCATTCTGTTTCACTCTAATACTTGTCTAAATTCTATTGATTCTCTTCACTCATTTTCTTGTCTACCTTTGTGTGCTATTTTGGAACTCGGCAACTCGAACTGCTGCACTTCGGTGCCAAGTTCCATGTTGAATCCGGCCAGCAAGCCAGCAAGCCAGTGGGACCCGATCCAATGGCCCATAAATTCTAACTTCTGCTAATTCACGACATAGCGCGACCCCTAGCCAATGTCTTCTGCGAGTATTTGTCCTCACACCCGACCTGCTGCAACCTACTGGTTACGACTTCTCACTAGAACCCCAGGTAACTACCTACCTGAATAGCGCAATTCGCTAGTGAGCACCAGAAGGTCCTGGGTTCGAACCCCGGTGGGTGCGTACTGATGAAGAGTCACACACTAGGACGAAACAGTTGTCCAGTACTCCCAGGTTTATGCATATATATATATATATATATATAAGGTTACCAGTTCGTATGACGATATAGGAAATCTCGAAGTTTTTTATTGAGATTATCACCCCTGACCAACATCAGTTGGAGAGAGCATTGAAAACCAGTATGGAGCACTGTACGTCTGTTTCGTCCTATGTTGGGGCTCCTCATTAGTGCGAACCCACGACCCAAAATGTGTGTTAAAACTTACATGCTGTTTGAAATTTAAAAGCACAATGATTTATGACATGAAGCTGTCACTATCCTCTATCGATAGCGGCTTCTTTGACGCTGAGATCGAGCTTGCATACTGCCACGACACTACGACCTACACTAGCTGAAATGAGTGTCCCACCAATGCCAAAGGTCGTTTAGATATTGGTTAAACTAGCAGCAGTTACTGTTATTGTGTAAGACGTTGGGTATTTGTGTGTGTGTGCGTGTGCGTTTGTGAACCAAACCGTACTGCTGGGCAGTGTAACAGTAGTAAGGTATCTTCCACATCAAACCAGCTATGCTACCTCTGCGTTCTAGAGAGGAGGAGTTAGAAAAAGTGGGTGCTGACTTGCATTAGGGCGCTCCGTAACTGGTGTTAAGATCTCAATATGGATCCAGCTCTAAAAATCCCTACAGACAGGCTGTGAGTGTCCGGTCATATGCAGTTATCCCCTAGGCTCTGCAGTCATGCAACATTCTTACTCATTTTGTTTCGCGTACTCCAAGGAGAAATCAACTTCTACGATGTGAGCAGTTGGTAATTAACAATCGCCCAACCTGATGCGTCCTACGTCAGGTAACATTGCCTATCGGTCGAAGAAGGCGATGGCTAGTCATTCATGCATGCGCAACACATGTCCTAACCATCTCAATCGACGTAACTTCACAGCCTCGTCTATTGATTTCCCCTCATTACCTAGCACTTTACCGACGTCTAACCTCAATATTGTTCGCCGTATTATACCACCACCTCACACGAAAGATAGAACGCAGATATCCATGATCAAGAACAGCTAGCAGGCCTGTACATGTCACTTGCTTTCATTGGCCATGTCTCCCATCCAGCCAGCCATAAAGGAGGACGAAAAGAAACAACTGACCAGTACACACACCCTCTGATCCATTGGCAAGCCAGCCAGTCCATGAATTTTAACTTCTACCACCAATTCACGCACGACATGGCGCGACCACTTCGTAATGTCTTCTTCGATGAGTAACTGTCCTCACCTTCGAACTGCTGTAGCCTACTGATGACGGCTTCCCAGTAGAACTCAAGGTAACTACCTACCTGAATAGGACCAGTCACTATTGAGCATCAGGTCAGTTACCAAGTATTGGTTTGTAGGCATTTTGTTTGATTGGTTGGAGGATTTCATCATGTGCGAAGTGGTCGCGTTATGTTGTGCGTGAATTGGTGGTAGAAGCTAGAATTCATGGGCTGGCCATTGGATTGGGTCCCACTGGTTGAATGGTCTACGAGTTCGCTCGCCAGCCTTGTAACCAGAAAGTCCTGGGTTCTAACTCCACCGTGGTCGGTGCGTACTGCTGTAGCGGAGTCCCAAACCAGGAAGGAGGAAACAGCTGACCAGTACTCGCAGGCTTTCCAATGGTTCTCTAACTGATGTCAGCTCATAATGAAATCCTCCAACCAATCAAACAAAATTCTTACAAAAACCAACTCTTGAATATTGCTTTTGTTGTTAGGACAATTTACCACATGTCCATATGCGATTGCACATCTTTAGAATGATACATACACGGAATCTTCGAGGGACCTTGATGGAAATAGTTTCCCTTAAACCAGATTCAAAGACAAGAATCGAAAAACAAAGAAAACGCCTGTAAAGGTCCAAATCGTCCCCAAAAAGATGCTGCTGATGCCTAAACTCAAATTTAAAAATGATACCAAGGCATAACTTCTCCGTAAATGGCTTTCGAAGTCTCTCAATAAAACATACTTCACTGCCAGCCAACGAGTGAGATTTCCCTGGGAAAAACTATTCAACCAGCACGTACGTGAATGACAAGTTGTAGCATTGGGCCACTTCAACATGTATATACTAGTTCACTTGCTCGTGTGGAGCTGAATACATTGGCCGTACCATGCATCCGCTTGTGAAACGCACTAAGGAACACTATCCAGCCTGGTACGCAAAGGCAGAACACATGTGTGTGTACAGTCCGGCAACAGAACATCTATTGTATTCAGGACATTCAGCTCCATTTGAACAGTCCTTCAAAGTTCCATATACAAGATCCGATCAGACCCATCAAAGGGAGTAAAATCAAGGCATCTAAGAATAGCTGAGGCACTGACGATCCAAAATCTCAAGCACACTCTTTGTGTTCCAAAGAAGTACGTCAAATCTAACCGTTGTCCCTACTGTGGCCATCATGAAAAGTCAGTCCCGCCAATAATGATTATCCTATTACCTTTCTTGTTCAACCTTCGTGTTTGTTTCTGTTATTTTTGCTTTCTTAATTCCTGTCTGCGTCACTGTATTTATTTTGTTTTTACATATGTCCTAACTTCCTACCTATTTTGTTATTACTACGTCCTTAATCCGTAACTTGTAGAAACAGCCAAGTTTTTCCAGTAATTATCATCTTATTATATCCTTTCTACCCAATCCTCCTGATTATTACATTTTATAATTTTATTAATTTAACCTTTGACCGGAAATAATTCTGGAAATTTCTCATTCATTTACTAGATAAATACACGAATTTACAGCTATCTAGTTGACGGTGACTTCGTCAAAAAGAAAAGCAAATTTTCTTACCTACAACCGTCCTTTCGATGATATATGTGGAAAGCGTAGCTCTTTACTGCATATCTTTTCTTTTATATGACATAACTGATCATGTATATTGATTTATTCCTTGACTTATGCAGGCAGACAGCACACTTTCAACCACAGGCAGTCGGAAAGAATGAAGATGTCGAAATCAGGCAGCCAGCTAGCCAGCCAGAATCGGAAAGACAAGCAAGATACGCACATCTTCATCAACTTGAAAACCAGTTAGGAAATATTCTGCACTGCGCCCCACCTCAGCCAGCATAAACAACAAGATTCGGATTCTATTCAACACAAATGTTACTGAAGTCATTCAATCACTTCTTCTAGATGGGTGAGAAACTTGGCGTTGGTGTCACGAAAAGTATTTCCAGTAGGATACCGCAGACTTTTATGAACAGCTGACTCCTTTGATGGCTGGCTGGCTTGCTCCATACTGAAGACCAAATGGCCAGCCGGCTAGAAATAATTAGCAACAAGAAACTCTGGCAACGAAGGTACCAACCTAGAGCCTATCGCTCAACAAATATGTAGGCGAAAATGCAGATGGATTGATTGACTGGGCATACGTTGAGTAAGAAGGCAGTCGAATGACATTGTACTCAATGCAGGCAATCGTTCGAGTGGAAGGTGAATGGGTCGTCGGTGTGAGGGTGACATGGAGGAGATCGTATGGCGAGGAAGAGATGACAGATTCTGGGGAATAGTGTTGTCAGGCAGCTAAATAGGACAGGAGAAAATAATTCACAGTGGAGATGTGTTGTTGAAGCCATCTCTAGGTTCCACTCAGAACCCAAGGGAATAATAATAATAATTTCATTTAATTAACTGTCTAACATAAAAAATAATTTGAAAAAATTCTACCTTCAGAAAACGATTACCCCTCACCGTAAACAATTTTGTTTTTTGAAGATTTTGATTGACATCTGAAGGTTCACATACTCGTGGCCGACGACTTAACAGTCTTGCAGATGTTGTATATAATGGCAAAGATGATTTAGAGAGTTGTCTTTGCTGAACATTGACTAGAAGGTGTTCAGAATGTTCTCTGTCTTGGTTTCCATTATTCAAATTATGGTTGGTATTATTACCATTACAAATCACAGGAGATTGCTTTCTAAATTCTTTTTGGATTTGTTGCTTTTTTGGGCCTATCACATTTTTTGTGCAAGTTGTGAGATCAGATACAATGGGTTGGGTGATGTTCACTTTTTCCTGATGCTTACTAATTTCCTCAGTGGTTGTTGGCAGTGAAGAGAAATTCGTCTAAAGAGGACAAAAAATAACGAAAGAAAAAATGATGAATACGTCATATGGGGTAGTATTGTGGTAGTGTGTGATACAGACAACAATGTGTGTTCCAGCGGAATATTATTCTCACATATACTATTCTCACAGTTCAATACTGAATTAGCAACAGAATACTGCGCTATATATGTATATTTGAACATTCTATTACATTTCGTTTAATGTAAACCAAAATCACAAGCTCGCTCAGTGATTGGTTAAAGAATATAAACCGTATAGATATATAAACAGCGGTTTGATCACTTGAAAAGATACCTTGGCTTCCATGCCTTACCTTCTGCTCTTACGTTTGGTGTCGCTGCCTGTCGAAAAATGAAAAGCCCATAACCTGCAGTCTTAGACGAAGAAGACATATGGATCTTCTTGTAAGACTTCGAGGCTGTTCCGAAGATGAATGGCGTTCAAGATACCCCAGAAAAGACGCTTTTACTTGGAACACTGCTGAGAGGTCTGACAAAGGCAGCATATGGTAGTGTGAGGTGAAACACTGTCGAATACGCACCAGGGTCATGCGTATTGCTTCTAAAGTGGGAAGGAGCATACACGGTCACCGTGAGACGGGATCACGTATATACGATGAGAAATACAAACAAAGAGAAGGAAGTGAACGTCAGTGAGCTCCAGAACTGGATATAGCAAGTTAAGCTAACAAAGCAGCTAGCACTAAGAAGACCGAACCGACTTCAGTCTAGAGTATTCGATGTGGGGCGGGGGGGGCAGAGTGTGATGGTGTAGTACAGACAAAGTGTTCCAACGGAATATTATTGTCACAAATACTATTCCCGCAGTTCAATACTACATTAGCTACAGAATTCTATACTATATATGTATTTGAACATTCTATTTCATGTCGTTTAATATAAACCAAAATCACACACACTCTCTCTCTCTCTCTCTCTCTATATATATATATATATATATATATATATATACCCAAAAAGACCGGTACTTTGTGTATGTTCAGAAGAAACAGGTCCAACCAGCCACTTCTACTGCCCTGGCCGGCCTTCAGTGGAGACTATAAATTCATGAATTCTATATTATTATTTTTCTCAATTTTTCTGATATTCAGTGTGTAGTGTTATTTTGATGCTGTCCAACTGTAATCCATTGATATTATTATTATTGATTCGATGTTATTTAAACAACATTAATGTTGTTAATGACACGAATTGATTCATTCAATATTATGGATGGATGCATATTACTGCATAACGTGAAGACATGGAAAGCCTTGCTGGCTAGGTGTCTTTGATCATAGATGCCTTGTTCTATCTCCCATGTTAGGTGGTGGTATAATAGAGTGAGCAACAGTGAGTTGAGGCATCAGTCGTCGAGTGCTAGGTAAGGAGGAGGGGAAATCAATAGACGAGGCTGTGAAGCAGTTACATCGATTGGGAGAGATGGTTAAGACATGTGTTACGCATGCCTGCCTGCCTAGCCATAGCCTTCCTCGACCGACAGGCAATGTTAGCTGACATAGGATCGAGTTAGAAAAGAGTAAGCTAGTGGTGGTCAAACCAAAACATGGCTTCATCAGTCAATGAAATCCACAACAGTTAGTTTAAGCCAGCCAGCCACGTAGGAAGGTGTAGACTTCCTGACTGACTGGTTGGGGTCCTTAGGATGATAAAAAATGATGAAGGCTGGAGACAACTGCTAAAATGGCTGACTCAAAGTGGTCGTCCTCAACGGATGGCTGGCGCAGATGCATCCACTCCTTGTGACTTATAATACCCAATCAAACTATATTGTTCTTCGATATTACTATTCTCTTTGCCTCACACCTCTGTTTACTGTCTCTATTTTGCATTTCTTTTTACTTTCTTCTCTTGCTTTGTGTGTGCTAAGTGAAGTGTGGCAACTCCAACTGCTGCACATCGATGAAAAGTTCTATGTTGAAATAAGTCAGTCGGTCATTTCTGTAGGATACATGGAGAGTGTGGGAACTCGAACTGCTGCACTTGTTCTGTGCAGAAATTTCTAGGTTAAAATCAATTAGTCAGTCAATCATTCACAGTTAGTAGATGTGAATGCCATAGTTGTTTGATAATGGTAACATAGTTTATATAAATGACATGTGGTGTGGTGGAATCTAGATTAGTGTGATGGTATCAATGGAAAGTTGTTTAGAAGCGTGTACACTGCATCACTGAGATTTCAGCAATAAATCATTACAAAATAAAACTATATATGCATATATATATATATATATATGTATATATATGGAACAAAGCTTCTATCGTCTCCACCATATTCAATTATTGGTTTTGTGGGGATTTTGTTTGATTGGTTGGTTGGAGGATTTTATCTTGAGCTGACATCAGTTAGAGAACCACTGGAAAACTAGCCACTTGGAGTACTGCCAGACAGCTGTTTCGTCAGCCTAGTTTATTTTTTATTTTTTTGATTACAGCTTTATTCCACACCGTATTTTTCGGTACAGGTATGGAATTTTCAGCATGTGATATGGGTAGCCCAAATTTTGCAGGCCGAGCATAGATATCAGGTGTGCATCGGCAGGGGATCGACTCTTCATCAATACGCACCCACCAGAGCGACAGGGTTCGGACCCAAGACCTTCTGGTTACAAGGCGGACGAGCAAGCGCTCAGACCATCCAATAGCCAGTCAGCCAGCCAGTCCGTGAATTCTAACTTCTACCAACAATTCACGCATGATATAGCGCGACCGATTCGCAATGTCTTCTTCAATGAGTAACTGTCTTCGTCTTTGTTCAACCTTCTGTATCCTACTGGTCACGGCTTCCCGCCAGAACCCCAGGTAACCGCCTACCTGAATAGCTCCATTTGCTAGTGAGCATCAGATCAATTTTCAAGTATTGGTATTTTTGTAGGGAGTTTGTTTGATAGGTTGGAAGATTTCATCATGAGCGCTGATATCAGTTAAAGAACCATTGGAAAACCCGCTGGGAGTACTTGACAGCTGTTTCCTCCGTCCTCTTCAGCAGTATACACCCAGCATCATGGTTCGGACCTAAGTGGGTGCATAATGATGAAGAGCCAGTCCCAAACTAGGATGGAGAAAACAGCTGTCCAGTACGCGATATTCACTTTTTATAAACCTTACTCTTTCCATTCTAATAAATATTGAGACGTTAATTCATGTCATGCGTTCGCTATCTGTCTGTGAAGGCAGACTTAGTTAAGTGTCTAACAACAACCGAGCAACAACATTACTAAGTAGTACAACAAAAAAGACCTAAATGATGAAATGAAACAGATAGAAGAAGAATGCCTGGTTGGTGTCAAATATCCTAACTAACTATCTTATAAATGTCTTTAAGAAGATCAGTGAAGGTTGGACGCAAAATAAAAATAATGGTGAAACTAATAACGATAACATAATTCAGAGAGAATACAAGGCATCTACAGTGCTTTTACCATATAAGGAGGGAGAGGACATCTAAGACCTAGGACTTCTAATAAAGAAGGAATTAGAGTGGTGGTGGTGGTATTTAAATCAAGAAACTCACTCAGATAGGACCCAATTAAACAAAATAATATAATTTACAAAATATATTGCAATAACTATGAGTTAGGTCGACTACATAGATGAAACTAGTCAGATTGTCAGAACATAAGAATTTAGCTAAGGTTAGAATAATTGACTCCACACACCAAGATAAGTGATTTAGAAAAAACAACTCAGCACTACATTGCACCGCATGCATTAACACACAACCAGACACAATAGGGTGGGAGGGAGAGGGTTAAAATTCTAAGTAGTAGTATAGGTAGGTGTAGAGAGATAGAGAGAGGTTGATAACTGAATCTTTGTTCATCAAATCGACTACACCCAACACAACACATGCAATAGGAATGACTCATCACACTCATACCGGAAATATGGAAAATACTATACTACTAATCATGTCAAGCGATGAAAAATAATAGAATTATATAATCGAAGTTAGAAAGTTGTGTGAGTAGTGACTTAATATGATTATGAGTAGTAGCAACGACAAATTGCGCTCGAAGCGTGTGGACATCATCAGTAAATATTACTGTATAACAAACACACACTGTGTGTTACACTTTATCAAAATAAATTTTACCCACAATGGAATTATACTCTACTACCACAACCACAGTGCCCAAACGTTCTATTCTTATATCAATTAGTAACGTTAACATTGAAATTATTGAAATTTCTAATTGAAGTAAATTGAATGTTTCTTTTGCAATTATTCTCTACTTTACTGAAGGTTATTCAAACAATTTTATTATGTATACGCTTGTCTTTTTTCATTCTTTTAACCTACATTGAATACAATCTACACTGAAAAAAGTTTTAAGCTATGCATTTTTTTTGCTTAGAAACGTTTCCAATTCAGTATTATGAAATGCAAGCGCATACAGCACATATTGTATACGAAAGTACTTTGAGTATTGTAGATTGCTTTCTCTTGAGAGATTATCATCATGTATTATTGATTTTTTCATTCTTATATATGTGTGTGTGCTCATATTTTGTGTACTCTTTGATGAGAGAAACTGTGACGCCTGCCTGAATGAAGGTTATTCAATAAAGGTAATATTTATACATATGTATATATATTATCATAAGTACAACTTCAGCAGTTAAAGATATTTTGATAAAATCACACACATTGATTTGATGATATTAGATGGTTGGAGGCAATCGGCAGGACGAAACCTAGATCCAAGGCTTCCTGTGGCCGATTGCCTCCAATCATCTAATATCATCAAATCAATGTGCACCATGATGGCGAACCAGCCACCTAGTGGCATGGTGGCCACACTGCAAACCTGACTGATAGAATTCAGTCTGCACCAAAGAAAGGACTAACCAGACACACCACACTAGTTACTAGTGTCCAGTCAAAGTCACACAGTTTGTTATACAGTAATATTTACTGACGATGACGTTTCGAGGACAATATAGCAATGGGATGATGGATCACGAATATCCCCT